TAAAATATTAGTATTTTTTATTTTAGAAAATAATACAAAATAATTTTATTTATAATTTCGGATAAAATTTTTAATTCTTCTCGTTGCGCCATATATCATTATCCGAAAAAATAATTTTTGGTGATAGATTTCGATAAGATTTTTATCAAATGTCGTCGTGCCAAGTGTCCTTACTTTTTCAGAATCGTTGATGATAGATTTCCGATAAGATTTTAAACCAATCAAATTGCACCACGTGTCGCAATCTGTTTACAATCTTTAAGAATAGATTTCAATCAATTTTTTAACGAATGACGGCATGCCACGTGACGTTATCTACAACCTAATCATTTCTTTTTCCTCCATATAACCACTATCCATCCAAAGAAATTACACACCAAAATCAAAATCTCTATCATTATTCATAGTTTTTACTTCATTCTTACAATGTCTTCTTCAAGGATGTTGTGGAAAATCGATGAGTAAGAGAAAGAATTGTTTAAGTAAGGGGAAGAAATGTTCAATTTCTAGTTGGGCAAAAATGAGATGGAAGAGGAAGAGGATGATGAGTGTAGAAGGAGAGATGATGAAGCAAGAAGCCAAAAAGCCTCACATTTCCGTCGAGTCATCCAAGTTGTGGCTCAAATCTTCAAACTCAACTGTTCTGCAAACATTGATAGAAGCAAGCAACAACAAGGTATGGATGGGCTGGAGCAAGGAGCTAGGGGCCCCTCTCACTTAGACCCCCCTCAGTCCAATCACCCGCATGAGCCGGAACAAGGAGGTAGAGCAATTAGATAAAAAAAATCAGCCCGTCCACCGGGCTATCACATACAGTGGACTTGCTCTTAGCCCTTGAGCCTTTTATCTCGTTATCCCACCTTCCTCTACCCCTTGTGTGAGAAAAAAGGTTGATGTCCAATAATTGCCTGAAAAGTATGTTTTGTGGAAAAGAATTTATATTTATAATATGTTTGCCAAACAAAAAAGATATTTTGACTTCAAAGGGAGCTGCTGCTGCTGCTGGGCGCCTTTTTGCAGTGAGATAGCAGTGAATAGGGTCTTAATTCAACCTCACTTTTGGGTGACACAACAAGTGAGCGATAATTCAACCCATCAAATCCAACACTCCTCATATCATTATTACCCTTTTTTTGTGGGCAGGCACATAACCTAATTTCTCTTTTTTATTTTCTTCACTTCCTCATTTTAAAAAAAAAATTTAACGAAAAATTTCTAATATTATTTATTTTAACAAAAAATTATATTTTTATACTAAAATGTTAACTATGATATTATTCAATTTATCCTTTATTTTATCATTATCGTTAAAATTCAAAGTTTTCAAACGCTTTTCATTAATTTTCTTCATTTAAAATGTTAAGTCAATGCTTTCCTCCCCACACCTATATTTATTTCTTTATGAATGCTATTAATTTTCTTCTTCTTTTTTTTCTACTTTTACCCATACAATACAATACCAGAGGCATTTTCATTTTACTTTCTCATGTTCCATTCTTATCTTGCAGTGTTGTATATTATTTGAATTGTTTTATTTCTCGGCTAAATTTGAAATCTTTAGGCAATCCAACTGTCATCAAACAAATTAACAAGCTATGTTGATTACTTGAATGTTGAAATTTTAACAATGTTAATCAAACGGTTAAACGATTTGTGAGAATATGAAGATAGAAGAATCTCACATCGGTGAAAGGAGAAATCTTACAATGGCTTATAAGAGGTTGAGTTATTTTCCAAATTGTCAATTGGTTTTATGATAGAACTTCAACTTTTTTATAATATCAGAGGAGGTTGTCCCCTATGAGAAGCCCAACGGGCACATGTACTTCACTTCACTTGGTTTGTGTTGTCCCCGTGTTAGGCCATCTCCAACCAAAGGGTTCAGAGGGCCAGAGGGTCGAAAATCTTCTCCAACTGAGGGCTAGGCCAGAGGGCTGTGGAATCTGAGAGGGTCCCACGGAATCGAAGAGGGCTAGAGGGCCAAAAAATTCAGTTTTCCTGTCGGTTATAACCGACAGGAATCCTTAAGAAAAAAATTCAAATGCAACAACTAGCTGACGTCAGCTAGCCGTTGCATTTGATTTTTTTTTTTATAGTTTTATTATTATTTTTATTTACAAATTTTTTTTATAGTTTTATTATTATTTTTTAATTCTATTTTTTTTCCTATAACTTTTATTTTACAAAATTTGTTTCTTTTTTTTTTTAAATTCCATTTTTTCCTATAACTTCTATTTCACAAAATTGCTTTATTTTATTTTAAATTCTATTTTTATCCTATAACTTCTATTTCACAAAATTTGTTTCATATTTTTTTTAAATTATATTTTTTTTTCCTATAATGGCTACCAACTTCTATGTTAGCTACTAATGGCTAGCTGACATTACTTAGCCGTTGGATTTGAATTTAAGTTGTAGTTTTTAAATAATAAATTATGTTTGGCCCTATGGTCCTTTCGCCCTCGGTTGGATACGATTTTTTGTGGTAGGGCTAAAACGAGCCCTCTGTCCCTCAGTTGGAGACGGAGGCAAATATGACCATGTACTGTTCATTTAAATATTAATATCTTGGAGAATCTTAGAGGGCCAGAGGGCTAAAACGAGCCATCTGGGCCAGCCCTCAATTAGAGATGGCCTTAGGTCCCGTGTTAGGCTTGAAATGGCGTCACATGTGAGATGGTGGTGTGTGAGGATGTGAATATAAAAGAGTCTCACATCGGTGAAATGAGAAAAATATTCGAGTGAGGAAGTTGCCGACATTCCGAAATTAATTAGGTTAAAATGAGTAATTATCTGTAGCAGCATCAGCATCATCTAGCAAGCAGCCAGCAAATCATGCACTCTCCGTATTTTGCTTGAATGCTTTTATGATTGCTTGCCAAATACATATATGACATCGCCAAGCTTATCAATTCGTCGTCCTTACTATAAATGTGTATTTAATTATCAACATCCCATAATTATAATATTAGCTTACGATAAATGATTGCCAACAACTAAAAAACAAGTGTGTATAGTGAGCACCTAGTGTGAAAAAGACACTTGTTTTGGAGAATTTTTCTCATGCGATGCTAACATGGTTCGACATAATAAGTGTCATAATATAGTTAGTTGAATTTTTTTTTCAAATTTTCAGTCAATTATACTATTACATTTTGTATATCAGACCATATTCTCGATACTGAAAAATATCTCATTGTTTTGGGGCAGAAGAAACATATTGGCAAGTTGCAACAAAATTCTTCAAATATGAAGTAAAAATAAATTAAAGAAAAAGTTTGAGAAAGATAGTCTTGAGGGAATGATGAAATATGACATGACCATAAAAAAGGTGAAGTGGTACTACCCAATCGGCACGAGAGACATATTATTTACTGAATCCATAAACATTTAAAAACGCAATAGATTTGTTATCGGCAGCCAAATCACACATATTAATATATATCGACTTTGAAGAATTTTCAAAAGAACTTTAAATGTATATTTCTCAAATTCCAAGTATCCTGAAACTATCTTTGTTCTAACGTACTTCCGCCACTAGACTCGATTGCATTGTGCTCCACCCATGCATACACACACAAACGAAATACATTTAATCGCACAAATCACAACTTAATTAATCTTAATTTGACATAACCGTTGGAAACCATTCTTTATTTAATGAATTTATTAAAGAGAATTTTAAAGAAAAACTCCTCGTACTATTTAATTTAACGAAAAACCACATTTGTACATTAAAAAGTCAATTTTGGTACTATTCACTTTACCATTTATTTTGTTATTTTCGTTAAAACTCAAAGTTTTCAAACTCTTTTAATTAATTTTCCTTTTATTAAAACAATATACCCTAAAAGTGATTTTTTTTATTTTCTTTAATAACAATAGAAATCATGTGATATTAAAAATCAATTAAACCATTTCGTATTAGACTATAAATAATTATAAATCATGCATGATCTCCTTTTCATGCCATCTTCTAATTTAATACCAAAAGATCCTCAAATCCTCCCCAACCAATTCACGAGCGACATATTTTTGACCAATATATATAGGCTCGTTTGGAAGTGTTGTAAAAATGACTAAAAGCGTATTAAGATGAATGTTTTTTGGTTTCAAAGACACTTAGAAGTGATTTCTGAAAAAAAAAAAAAAAATAGTTAAGAGCTTTTTTGCGATTTACTTACACTTTAATTAAAAATTGGTTCAAAAAATATTTTCATCAAAAAACTTTCAGCCACTTTAAAAGCACATCCAAACGAATTCTTAAACAAATCAAGAATGAAATGTTTGGTAAATAACCATTCACATAGTTCCAATAGATTTTTATAGTATGAACAAAACACACGTAACATTGTTTACAACGTAAGCAATTGCATAGCAAAATCTTAGATTACAAGGTGAATAACGCACATCAAGCACTTCTTTGCCATACCACATTTGTGCTCTCCTAGTATCCAATAGGAAACCGACACGTCCGTGAACAAATAACTAGGTTTTCCTAAAACACATAATATCCAATAAAATAAAAACAAAAGGAAAAATACACCGGTGGAGCCACCATGGTTGGTAGTTGGTAGCAAGGCCAGACTCATTCCTCAATAACTCAGACGCCTCATGTTTTGAGTTTCTTTTTTGAGATTGCATAATTAGTCTGGAATATCATTATCTTGACGTGCTCTCGTTTCGTATAAGTTATTAACTACAATATACCACGCCAGAATTCGAAACTCGCACGTGCCCAAAACCAAAAACCCAAAACCAAACGAGAATCATAAATGTACCACCATATGATGGCTCGGTGATTGGAAACAAATTTCAAATCCGTATTATACACAGCACATCCTAAGTTCGATTTCTAATACAGATGAACCACGTAACAATGATAAAAAAAGGCTGAAATATTTTTGTAAAAATAGGCTGCCTTGACGAGACCATTAGTTTTTTCATTTTTACGAAAAAAATTAAAAAAACGAGAATCATAAATGCAGTGGGCACAAGAATTTTCATGGAATCCAAACACTCCTCAAATTTTTATTTGATTTTCGTTTTGGTGGGGCCTTTTTCTCCTTTTGGCAGCATTTTTCCCCTTTCCATTTTCTCAGGAAAGCCTACATAATAATCAGAAAATAAAGTATTTTTTATAACAATTAGCCAGAAATTAAAATTAAATAAAAACAAAAATAAAAAAATAAAAGAAAAATGAGTGAAGTTAACGCCAAGCGGATGCGACGGTGAGAGTGCGGCTTATCCAACCAAAGCAAACACCTCCATTCTCTTCTTTAACCGTGAACGCCGAGTTGACTCGGTTTCCCGAACCCAGTCGATTCTTCAACGACTCGATCATGTTTGGTCCCATGGGCCTCAACTCGAACCCCGCCATCCCCATGCGGGCCCGCCACTTCCCAAACACTTCACACCTTTCCACGCGATCCCTACCTTCGCAAGCAACCGAGTTCGCTACCTTCCGACTCAGCGCCTCCTCCACCTTGACTCGCTCCGGGTTCTCCCTCGGCACCGTCGCCTCGATCGACTCCAGCAGGGCTCCGTAGTACGCGCAGCACTCGTTTACGCGCGCCATGAAGGGCGCGGTGTTGGTGTTGAGCTCCTGCTCGACCAGCGTCACCACACGCGGCGCCAGTCCCTTCACGCGCCGCAGGAGCTCGTCGCGGGGGTTGTCCATTGACACGCTCTCGTCGGGCATGCTGTACAGTTTGAAAGCGAAATTCACGGCGATCGGCTCGTCCGGTTCGCAACCCAGCGATTCCCGGTTCAGGTCGCCGATTTTCTGGCTCACTACGTTGAATTCCAGACGGACCCCGAGTCGCTGGGCGTCTTGACTCAGTTTCTGATGGACCATTCTCAGCCTCTCCTCCCCGCCATTATCAGCGACGGTGGTGATCTTCACGACAGCGGGCCTGACATTCTGACGCGCGACGAGCGCGTGGAAAAGAAGCACGTACTGACCACCCTGCCCTATGTCGAAGTCAATCACATGAACCTTACTGGTCGCTGATTGGTCCGTCATGGTCGCTTCTAGGATTGCGAGGTTAGCGGCCATAAATCCGAGTCTGAAACACGGAGATAACTCGTAAAGCGACTGAGTCGACCCGGTATGCTCCTGCCTAAAAAGCTCCGCTATCGGAGCCGGGTTATCAATCGGGTTGACCCGAGACTTCAAAGCTAAACCCATGAACTCCAGAAGCCTTTGTTCTGAACTGGGTCTAGGATTCGCGACCTGGGTCGAATTCATCCGGGTGAGGATCTCCATAGCGGCCTCAGATTTCCCATCAGAAATAGCCGTCGCGGCTTCCATGAGTGACTGCTTGGAACACGTGGAGGTAGCAGGAGACGCCACGGAGGACGAGGAAGACGACGACGAAGTAGGCGACGGCGAAACGGGCTTCTGGTTCTGACTCGGAGCTGCCGTACCCATCAGATTCTGTATCGTCTCGGACCACTCGCTGTTGGTTTTGGTAATGACAGAAACAGCGTCGCCTTCGTCGTCCTCGTCGTTATCGTCGAGAAGCTGTTTCTCCAACTCTTGCAGCCTGTTGCTAAACATCTTCTCGGAGTCCACACCTCGGGTCTGAACCGGATTGTTGGGAACCAGATTGTTAACATACGACATCGCCTGTGGTGCTGGCTGGTTAATGGGCTGAGGGCGGAGCTGCTGAAGCATAGGCAACCCGAATCGCTGATGAGGCAAAATCGAGGTGGACGAAAACGAAGACTCGGAGCCTGAAAGTGATGACCCAGATGAGAAGTCTATCGGAGATAACGGCGAAATCGGAGAGGAGTGCTGGAAACTTCTGGCCTTGAGGGAGCGGAGATAGAGATTTTGGCTCGGATTCTGGTGGGGGTTGTAGTGGTTCTGCTGCTGGGCTTGGAACTCCGCGAGCGTCCGCTTTCCAATGAGACCGGCTGCTGGGTTTTGGGTTTGGGGTTGGAATTGTGTTTGGCGAGCGATATGGGATGCGGTGGGGTCGAGGAACAGGCCGGGGAGCTGGGATCGGTGGAAGGGATTGTTCTGAGATGGGTTGTGGCCGTTCATGGCTGCGGCGATGGAGATGGATCGCCCGTTTGGGTAGAAGTCAGGAACGCCGCTGCCTCTTCCGCCGTTGTAACCGCCCGATTGCATTTTTGTTTCCTGTCTGGGTTTCTGAGAGCGAGGAAGGGAAAAAGGCTAAAAGTGGTGGGTTTTGAAGAAACGCATGGAAGGAGAAGAAGAGACAGTTTCGGTTTCTCTCTCTCTCTCTCTCTCTATCGCCTTGAATTCATTTGTAATTGCGATGAAATTGTGATTACAACTCGGGCAGATTCCAACTCTAGAGAGAGAAAGTGAGAGGAGAGAGAAAGTGAGTTGCTTTTCGTCCTGGTTTTTGGTTTTTTAGTTGTCTTCCCTTTTCGTTTTTAAATCTGAAATTCCGAAATGCATCCACGCGAGTATGTACGCCATCCAATTCCGGCCGTTGGATTTTCTTTTGGGGCTCGATCTGTGACGATGGACGGTGTTCATTACGCGTAGATATACTCTTCCACGCGCACCTCATACTTTCCGTTTTGAATTTACAATCAGAGGACCCGCACGAGATTGAAGGGAGCGTGGATGCACGTACCAACATAACATATGAGTATGTAAAATGCCAGATAGCTGTTCGATAATTATTTTATTTTTAATTTTCAGCTTTCATTTTCACTTTCATTTTTTTAAACTGAACGAAAGTTGAAGTTTTGTTTAAAATTGAACAAAAATTGAAATTTTATTTGATAATTATTATTTTTTTTTTTAAATGTGAAGATTGAAAACCAAAAACTCTAAATTACTTTCTTAAGTTTACTTTTTAGCTTTTAGTATATCTATTTCTTTAAATTGAAAACTAAAATGGCTACCAAATAAGATTTCAGTTTTCAAAAATATGAAAACTAAAAATTAAATGGTTATTAAACGATCCATAAACTTACATTTATTTCTGCTCCAACACACTATATTTATGTTCTTATTGTCATTTATTTTATTTTATATTTACTTCCTCTATTTCCTCCACGAATTTGTCATCCACAGTCGATTTCTACCTAATTTCCGTCTTGGCTATTGTAAATGACTAATTTCTCGGATGTCGACATGTTTACTCATATTCTAACCAAATTTTCATTCCATAAAGTCATATTATTGTCATTAAAATTATTTGTTTGTCACCCTTCCTTAATGTTATTTTATACTTTTATACTTGGTCTTTATTGAAATTTAACAATTTTTTAAGAAAAATGCATAAAATTATGAGTAGATATTACAATATTTGAGGGGAAAAAAAAGTTTATTAATGATTACTTAGAATAATTTGATCAAAATAGGAGTTAAATGGCAATCAAAACAGCTCCTGGCAATGATAAATCACACGATAATGGTTAGAGGATGAAATTTCTCTACATTTTTTTCAATCCTTGAAAAAGTAAATTATCGTTACAAAGTCACAAACTGGTCGTTCGATTCATGAAAAATAGACAAAACATTCCAAAATGTAAAGGAGGAATTTGAGGAGCGTGCACTCACACGCTGCCTGGCGAGGTGGGGGTTGTGTATTTCGTTTGAGTGAATAAGATGATCTTTATTCGGCAGTGACCATTTGACACGACAGTTACGAAGTATTCCAAAAGGCCTTCGACCGGAGACCCGAATGCAATCCAGAACACCACGGAAGCGACCCCCCGACCACGTGTGGCGAATGGTGTTGAGCTGTGAGGCTGCGTTATGTGACCGCCCCCGTCACTGGAGAAGTCACGCTGTGCTAGCTCGCGGATTCGAAATTCTGGTTGCTGGTTTGTCGTGACGGACGATTCCCGGTTGACTCTTGGTGGGATTACGGACACGCGTCGGTTTCTGTAGAACAGGGGTTTACGTATGAATGTGGTGATTTAACCTGAATTTTGTCTACGTCGCCAACCCCCAACCATTAGAATTTTTTAGCTCTGACATAATTAGACTTTTTTAATTAATAAAAACAGAACCATATATTGCTAACATAGAGTAAAGATTCTCGTCAGATTCTTTTTATGAGTATTTTAATTAGATTCGTTCATCGTACATACTACAGTAAGAAATCATTGTAAATTTTTAATTTAAAATTGAATATAAACAGTACCTGACAAAAACGGATCTCATGATGCACGATGAACAAATGTAATTAGAGGATCCCGAGATCCTCACAGATAGAATCCGACGAAGATCCTTTCTCGTTAAAATATACAGCTGCTCCAACTTTTTTAAGCTTCAACATAAAATCACAAAGGGTTGTGTAACTAACAAAGTAGATGATTAAGGGCTGGGTTTGATCTTTGCAGTTGAAGTTTTGAGTTTGATTCTTCTTCTCTTATCGCTTATATCTAAATGCTTCAGCATGTCAATTATATGGCTACAATACTTGAATGAGATGAATAATAATTTTAAATAGTAAGAGTCAGTTAAGGTATGCAGAATGTAGTTGGCATTAAGGGTGCAATTTGAGTTCGTTCAACCTGAATTTGTGCATGTTCAATCTGATTTCAAACCTGATTGGGTGAGTTAAAATCAAGTAAAAAAGGGCCCAAATCCAACCCAATTAATTATTGGGTTGATGTTTTACCAGCCAATGTCAATCCAAACTTAACCTGATTTCTAACTCGAATTGTTCATGCACATATTATGTGTCCCACTTCATAATACATAAGCTATATACAAGTTTAAGAGGGCTATACTTGAAATTCATTGTTTGATTTTCATTTGCATATGAATGATTGTTACGTGTAAAATTGAATTTTAAATAATTTTGACGTTATTTGGTTCAAAATTTGAGATTTATCTTACAAAATAATGTCTTACAAGATTGAACTTAATAAAGTTGCGCAAATCCGAATCCAACACGAGTAAGTCCAAGCTCAATTTAAATATGTACTTGAACCCAACTCAAACCGAATTAGTAATGTTGAGTTATGGTTGGGTTGACCATCTAACCCGCCCAAGGTGTACCCCTAGTAAGTATTCAAGACTTATTTTAACATCTTAATGCATAATTGATAGTAGATTTTATGGATTTTCCTGCTCCAAATCACTAAAAAAATTAAAAGTTTAGTAATTTGGTTGTTACATTATAATTGTCACACAACTTGTTACCTGATGAAATGATGGTTTATGTTTATATAAATTTTCCGAATAGATTATAGTGTGCTAAAGAAATGAGGTTTCATGACCCACCATCATGGATGGGTTTGGCCAAGTTCTTGTAGTTCCAACTTTATGATGGTGAACCGAACCTAGAATAATTTAGTTTATATATTAGGTACATGAATATCCATTGCATGTGTGTGGCCACAAATTATGTTCAAATTAAGCGCATAGTAATGTTGTACGTGTAATTAATATTTTTGGGGAGTTACAAACAAATAAATAACCTGTTTGATAAGTCCTAAACTTATGTATTGCTTGTTGAACTTAAAATTAAACTATTTTAGAAAATTGTTTAAAAGTATTTTTAAAATGGCTGAAAGTTTTTTCGATGAAAATATTTTTAAAACAAATATTTAGTAAAAATTCAAGTGAATCATGAAAAAGCATTTTAAGTTCTTTTAGAACCTAACAATATTTTTACTAAAAGCGCTTTCGGTCATTTTAAAATCACTTTCAAATAAGCTCTAATTCTCTAGCCTATTCTCGAACCATAAAGATTCAACCGTTTTCTATGTAAACATAGATGTTAACCACTTCTTTTCAACCCAAGGTATTTGGGTTTTTACTCTCAAATGCAAGTGAATAAGTAGAATATAAAGCTCATGTCAAAATATTTTCTTATTCGTTTTCTGGAACAAGTCATTTTAGGCATTTTTCTCATTTTTTTTTTCTGAGATAATATATGTCGCTTGTTGAATGAGATATCATTTTACCTAATTGATGTAAGAATCAACTCATACTTCATCATTACATCATTCAAAATTTTCTTACATAATCCAACTTTTATTTTGGGTAACACAAGCATATATTACTCAATTATTTATCTGGGACCCCAAAAATGGATATTTGCGTGGGAACAAAATTATAAAGTGAGACATGGTAGATTGGTGATTATTAATGTTATCCCTTCCAATTCTACTATATACACTCTTTGAAGAGGAGCTTTAACTTGAAATCTGCCATATTTAAGAATACATACATACATACATACATACATACATATATATATATATATATATATGTAGGGAATATGATCCTCTCTGGATCCAATCCATTTGGATCGTCAGGATCTCACCCGCCCAGCTGAATTCTTCCCCCAATTCTAGGTAATTCCTTCGCTATTTTCTCTCACCATGGGTTTCGATTCAATGTTTGCTGCGGATTTCAGTTAATCTGTGAGTTTTTTTGCAGTAACAAATGGCACAATTTCAAAACAACGAGTTGAAGTACGGCGTCAACGACTACTACGACGTTGCCGACTTCGAAGACATTGACGCTTTTGCCAATAACCAGCTCCGGCAAAGCCACGACACCGACTTGGATTTTAATGAAGAAGGATTCGAAAGATGTGAATGGATGTGATCTGGAGAGGATCCTATCCCATTATATATATATATATATATATGCGCTACTATACTGCAAATCTAATTTCTTTAACATGAAGATTGCTATCTTCATTTCATGCTTTCCAAAACCCACCCACTCTTTCGCAACATATAAAATATTAAAAAAATAAAAAAACAAATGAAGCATTATATTCTCAAAGGATATGTCTTTGGACAAGGACATCATGCAGTGTTTTATAATATAAGATTATCGCGACACTGATTCAATTTAAGGTTGTGGTCATGATTTAGACTTATGAATTAGGCTTAGAGTTTAGTTGTTTTGAGATGCATGGATTTGGATACATATTATGCAAATTTTGCCAATGTCCATTTTTAATTGTTTGAGTATTTTTTTTTCCTATTAGTTTTGCCTTTTTTGTGTTGTTTATCAATCATGTCGAGATTCGTGTCTTATCAACATTGTTCGTTAGTGTATTATCGAAGTTTTTGAATAAATATCGTTCATTTGAGATGAGTTTGTAACTCAGTTAATTAAAGCATTTACTTTAATAGCCGAAGTCTAATGCGATTATTATTCTAAATTCAATTCATTCTCTTTAATATTATTTAAAGATCATATATGCTAAAAAGTTATTCAATTTGGAGATTTTTTAGTCATTCATATGCATAAAATAAATGGACGGTTCATCATGAGGATGCTATTTGTTATCAAAACTGTTCGTGAGTTTAACACGTATGGATAACTAAACGATCTCTAAAATGAATATTTGTTTGTAAATATAATATTTAGGAAATATTATCTGGAAAAAATGAAGAATAAAAATTTGTAATAGGTTCCATCATATTGTCCATAGACATATTGATTGCATAACTGACAACGTGGATTTTAGTGAATAAAGAGGAGGGAGACGTTCACCATAAATTTGTTGGTACCCAATTTTAATATACGTCCATCAAAGCATCAGTGGTTGCAACATACTCAAGGTCTCACCACATATAGTAAGATCCTACCACAATAACTATTTATGACTATATAAATAACAATTAAAAATGGAAAGTGTTATTAACATTCTAAAAATCTCATTCTACACTCCTCACAATTGTATTTTTCTTTCCTAATATAGAAAGTTTGAAGTGTAGAATGAGATTTTTAGAGTTCTAATAACAATTCCCTTAAAAATATTCTAATTTAATAATTGATTGTTGTCGAAATTACCGAGAGAAAAGATATAAACTTGAATGCAGAACAAAAAACATATTTGCTCCAACAAATGTAAAATTTTTCTTCAATATTCCAAATTACTTAGTAGTCAGCAATACGAAAAAATGAACGATCAATGATTAAATTGAAAAAGAAAAAAAAATATTATGTTTGCTTACTTGTTAATCTAATAGATATTAGCATATGCCTATACACTTTGTGTGTATGAACACATTTTTTTAGAAAATGAGAATGAGAGAGAGAGAGAGAGAGAGAGAGAACGTGGGGGGAGTGTGAGGTTTTTGTTTTTGGTTTTTTTTTTAAATATTAGAGATATTTTAACATCACCTGTAGATAAAGCTTCAATAAAAAATAGTAAAATTTGGACCTATAAAATTAAATTATTGCTCATCATTTTTTTGCGTAATAGAAGACTAAGTTATTTTTTCATTATTTATTAGTTGAAAAATAGAATTTCATTAATTAGTAGAGATAAAACCAAATTACCCAGTAATCTGGAGTTCTGAAGACTCCCCACGTAAAACTTGCTGAACTCGTTTATTTTAAAGATAAATCAATTGACACGTACAACTTTAATTTCTACCAATATGGTATAAAATACTTCTCCTATTGCCTCACATAGGATGCTGATAAATTATCAATAAGGTCCACATTTTTTTTTCCTTTTCTTACATTTGTTTTACAATAATGCTAAAGTCTTCAATTATTCCCCCCACCCAAAAAGGAGAATGAAAAACAAAAAACCAACAAAAATAACGCCTTATCTCATTAAGTGGGAGTCCATTATATGAATCATATATTGCCGTTGTGCTCGGTTTTGTGTCAAACCTTTCGTTACCTCTAGGTACTCTATACATTTTCTTAGAGTATCTTTCCATGTTTTCTTAGGGTTTCCTTTATCCATTTCGCTATGAGTCTCAATCTCATAATCGGAAGACAAAAAAGCAAAGAGAGAAAAAAAAGTTAGAAAAGAATCCCTATCTAAACTTGTTCATTTGGCTTAAATACAAAGCTAATTAAATTTAAATTTTGAGCATCTTTTCATTAAAAATATAATCATACAATTTGATCCGAATTTTAATTAAATATTTTGCTTGATTCTTGTTTTCGTCTGGTCATGTTTAATTCAATTTCTTAATTAGAACGAAAAGTTTTTGACCACTAATCCCAGTCACTACGCCACCACCCTTTCAAGTTTCAACCTCTAATCACCAACTCTCTTGAACACATTGAAAATTACAAAACTGATCCCTCATGCTTGGAAGAGGTAAGATGTTGGTCAACTATGCTTTTTTATGGTGGACTTTTAGTGACCGAGTAATTCTTGTAATCCCGCACTCGAGATTTTTTGAGACCATGAATCTCACATCAAGAAAAAAAAGTATTTTACATTTGTTTATAAGTAATTGAGTTACTTTTCATATTATCAATTGATTATTCTAATGAAATCTAAACTTTTTTTTCAATGAATTTCATTGATATTTTTGCAAATATAATAATAACTACACATGTCATTAATCGAAACATGGAAGTTATTAGAAATTAACTACCTTGTTAGCCGTTTTAGTTCGACTATATCACACAAACTCATGAAGTAGCAACCATCTCTTGGTTTTTTTTTTTTTTGGTTGTGTTAGAAGAGTCTTAAGTTTGGATTTCTTTTCCCATGAATTTTTTGTGTCACGCCCCAATCCCGACATACGTCTAGGATCGACACGTGACGACTTTTATGGTATCAGAGCCTTGGTACCCAGACCTTTGAATTTTCAGCGGACGCTGATGCTTGCCCTGTAGTATCAGTGGTGTCAAATTTAGAGTTTCCTTAGATTTGTGAACCTTGGAGGGTGAGACTAGTACGTCTAGCCTATGGGATATGAATTGAGTAGTTATGTTGACCGTTCGTTCGAATCATTTACATTGGTTGTGGTGATTCAATTCGTATCAGTTTCGTTGTCTTCTTATTCCAAGTGTTTTGTTCAAGAATGTTGTGTTCTTTTGAATCTGGTGGCTAAAGTTTCCTTAGTGAGTTAGTCGTTGAGGTAGAAATTTAGTTTCGTGGTGAAGTGGTTGTCTTGAAATCCTCGTGTTGGATTTGATTGACAAAAGCGTGAGTGGGGGGATACTTCTTGGATTCGTATTTTTGGATTCTTGAAGTATTGAAAGTGAAGTTGGTTAAGTTCTTGGTGTCGAAGAGAAGGGTGAGGTCCTTATTCGATGTTGATGACGTGGTTGTCAATACGAGTTCGAATAGTGGTGTGGTAGTTCCTTGTAGTTGGGCTTATGGAAATTTCGGGGGCGAAATTTCTGTAAGGTGGGGAGGATGTGATATCCCGTCCCCAAAATGATTATTTTATTTTATTCTTGACGTATTTTGAATATTTGATTGGAACTAGTTCTTTACTTCTCCAAATTTGAGAAAAACAAAGTGAGGGGTACTTTAGTTATTTCCAATTTTCTCGACCTTTTCGGTCAACTCTTGAATTGGTTAGGTAGAGTTCGATTTCATGAGCGCGTAGGCGTAAACTGATCTTATTTCCGAATCAGAACGGAGAAGTTAGAGTCGTTTGAAGTTGGTGGCATTTTGGTAATTTTACCAAAATGCTATAATTGGAGTGAAACCTCCAGAAAAAAGGGGGAGGTTTCTGAAAAATGGGAGAAAAGTTGTTGCTAACCCGTTTTAGGGGAGACTTGGACCCGAAAACCCACAAAACTTGACCCGCTTGTATCTTCTTCATCCGAGCACCGTTTTGGGTGATCCACCGGGAAGTTATCGTGTGAGTTCCCAGAAACAAAACCATGAGGGCGTGGTCGGAGCCCAAAACGAACAATATTGTGCTACGGTGGAGTCAAGCCCCGATATGGTGGGGGTCCAGACGGGGATGTGACATTTTGCACCAAAATCATGTAAATATGGAAGATTTTTTCATTAAAGAAATAACATTGTCATCTAGTTTTACTAACCCACATGTAATATGGGGAAAAGAGAAAGTAGAGATGCTATGATATATTCGCATGTTATAATAAGAGTAAATTATTAGGACTAGAGGAGGCTTCCGGTGGTAGTTCAAATCGGTAATTAGAGGTTTTTCTCTTATAGAGGAACTCGTGACTATAATGCTGAAAACACTTGGTAAAATATTTGCCATACTAGTGTGAAATGTCCTCTTTGTGTTATTAATTCATTTGGATAGTGTGCAATTGATGCAAAGTGAAAATTTGCACTAGTTGTACCACCAACTACTTGATGTTTCAAAGGAGGGCTTCGTGTGGAGCAAAATACATGAGAATTTGGTGAGCAACTAAAGAATCTATGCTACGAAAACCAAATGCCTCTAGAACTCGACACGTGTCAAGCACACAACATATGTGCCACTTGTCCCTTGCCTCACTCAACCTCCTTGTACCATGTGTATTATCGAATCTAATTTTGTGACCAAGAAGCACTTTCTAAATAAAGTCAGTTTTTGCTTCCTCCCTAACTCAAACTAATCGTTATCCTTCCTCTAAAATCATGATACGTGCCATTTTAATTAACCATAGTTATCATACAAATATAAGAACTGGATCTTGGCATCATTTTTTTTTATACAATTTTTTACAGATTTTTTGTAGAGCTTATTTTGTAATGTATTTCACCGATTCAAACTGTTTATCTTTTGAGTCTTCTTTCAAAGAACATGTATACAAAAAATCATCTAAATCTAAAATCATACGATCGTTGAATTAAGAGTTTATGATTTCTTTGTGGAACCGTATTCATGCTTTCACCATAACAGAAAATAGTAATAATGTAAATGCCCTGATTAACCATGGTTAATTAAAAAGACACGTGGCATGATTTTAAACGGAGAATAGCGGTGAACTGCTTAGGAGGTTGAGAAAAAGGGACTCTTCAAAGTATCCAAATTTACCAAATTCCTTTGCAACTTCGTTTCTTCTTGGAGGCCAATTCTCTGCCTTCTTGTTTGGGTGCT